CATAAAAAATAAATTAAAATAAATCATAATGCTAAAAAACTGTTGCATATTATTTTGTGTTTTTACTGGTTATTTTGTTTTTTAAATATTTATTTTATTTTATTTTTTATGTATATGTGTGTATTGTCTGCATGTAGGTAAGTTCACCCATGTTATGCAATGCCTGTGGAGGTCAGAAGAGGTTGTCGGATCCCCTGGACCTGGAGTTACGGACAGTTGTTAGCTGCCATGTGGGTGCTGGGATTTGAACCCAGGTCGTCTGCAAGAACATTCAGTGTTCTTAACCACTGAGCCACCACTCCAGCCCCTATTTTATTGGTTCTTAAAATATTTTATTTATTATTTTTACTTTGTGTATACGAGTGTACTGCCTGCACATATGTAAGTGCACCTGGGTCATGCAATGTCTTCGGAAGTCGGCAGAGGGCAATGAATTCCCCTGGAACTGGAGTTATAGAAGATTGTCAGCTGCTATGTGGGTGCTGGGAATTGAACCTATGTCCTCTGCTAGAGCAGTCGGTGCTCTTAATCACTGAGTCATCTCTCCAGCCCCTAGAAGTTTGTTTTATAAATGTCTTCATGATCTTCAGGGAGCAGTGAGATCTAAGGCATTAAATCACCCAAAATTGTGATAAGTGAATGAATTAAACTTTAGCAAAATTTAGAATACCTATCTACCAGGATAGTCTTAAGGAAGTAGGATGTTTTAATTCACCTCCGCAGTGTAGAAAGAACCTCTACAAACTGACAAGAGAGGAGAGAGAGAGAGAGAGAGAGAGAGAGAGAGAGAGAGAGAGAGCAAGAGACAGCAAGAGCGAGCCAGACACAGTAAAAGCGGAGCAGTAAATTCCAGGGATGAATTTTGCTTCAGTGGCCAGCAGGTGTGTGAAGAGGGGACTAGGTCCAAGAAAAAGCAAAATTAAATCCACAAGGAAGGGTCTTGTGTCCTCACCACGAGGCTTAAGGGGAGCCTCACCAGAGGCTGCGATACAGCCAGGAGAACCCGCCCCATCACTGGGGCTATGAAGTGGCTCCACAATTGAAAGACTGTTCTCCAGCACTGTTTACTAACCCCACACATCTTCCTCTCTGGCCAGCAGTTGTGTAGGACTACCAGGCATGAGTGGATGGCTGCACTGCATCTCTCAGCTCTCATCAAAGAAGCTCCCTCATGCAACAGAGGGCAATGAACCCAGGGCTCAGGGACCACTATGGAAGAGGAGGGGCAGGGGTGGGGGATTGTTGAGCCAGGGGAGGAGGTGCATGACCATTTGGAAATAAGTCTTTAAAAAAAAAAA